CTGGCATTGTTCCTCGGTGTGACATTCTTCTACTAATGCAAGTGTGCAGGGGGTTTGAAGTCCTGTTCTTTTCAAAAAAAAGGAACAAACCCAACCTTCTACAGTACATTTTATTTCATTGTGCATACCTCAAGAAAGGCAGGGAGACAGGAGCTAACCTTTGTCTCTAAGGAAGGGCTAATCACAGTCAGGAATGGAGAAGAAATGTTATTTCAGTTCACGTTTAAAGGCAAACCTACCTGATTTGCATTTTCTGAAACAATATGAGAACCACAACATAGCCATCCCTTGATATGTGCACTTCTCTGAATTTTGCAGTGCTGCTCTGTACAATAATGCAAATACTAGGGTAATGTGTGAATAGACATCTGCATATTAGTGAAAATAATACACCCAGAAAGAAACCTGATTTGTAATAAATGTGTATATTAGGCAAAACTTCATCAAGGATATTAGGAGAAATTCACACTAAAATGCAGACCCTCCAAGTGTCCCTATTTTCCAGGGACAGTCTTGGATTAATAGAAGCAGTCTCGGTTTCTGATTTCATCCTGGAATGTCCCACTTTTCCTTAGGACATCCCTATTTTAATTGAATACATGTTGGAGGGTAAGGTAGAACGGCCCCATTTTCATTGGATAAATGTTGGTGGGTATGGGACAGGATGCCTCAAGGGGTTCCCCCCCCCCCAAGCTGGAACTCACTGGAACTCAGATTCAGCACCTCTCAGGTGGGCGCTGTTGCCATTCTAAGAAAATGAGGGAGGAGTTCCTGGTGAGTTTCGGCACTTCTTTTTCTAGAAAAATAGCAGTGGACGTCCCTATTTTCATCAGAGAAATGTTGTAAGGCATGAAAATGCTGTTAAATTTCCTTGAGGACTTTTTTTGTTTGTTTTTTAAAGCACAAAATCTTGTGGAAATGTGGAGAATTTAATATTTCAAACTGGGAGAAACCAAAATTGACCGAGTCACCTATCCCTAATCACAATACTCACCTGTGGTATTGACACGAAGGACCTCACCATTTTGTGAGGTTTTACAGAAATACAGTGGTACCTCAGGTTACATATGCTTCAGGTTACATACGCTTCAGGTTACAGACTCTGCTAACCCAGAAAAAGTACCTTGGGTTGAGAACTTTGCTTCAGGATGAGAACAGAAATTGTGCAGCGGCGGCGTGGTGGCAGCAGGAGGCCCCATTAGCTAAAGTGGTGCTTCAGGTTAAGAACAGACCTCCAGAATGAATTAAGTTCTTAACCCGAGGTACCACTGTAATGAACATTTCATGAGATCTAGAAACCTCTTCCGCAACTCCCTTATTATGATACTGGGACTATCCTCCACCAAAGGACCAAGATTGATAAGGCTAGGGCTGCAAATCGAGGAGGTTGTATCTGATGCTAGTCCTACTTAGAGTAGGTCCATTGAAATGAAGGGAAATGTCTAACTTGGGGGTGATTAATTTCAATGGGTCTACTCTGAGTAGGACTTGGTTGGTGCAGACCCATGGAGCATGACCATGGGCCAGTAGCTGTGGCTCCTGTAGCTACTACATGCAACCTCCTGACCTGATAGCTTTCCCATCCTTAATAATTGGTAGAAATACCTTGGCCTTCTTTTCCATGCCTGTTTTACACTGCGACTCCAGCATGGCGCTTAAATCCCCTTATGTGGCCTGGATACATATTTTATTTTATATATTTATTCCAGAATGTATAAGCCACTCTACATTCAGGGGAAATGCCTGAACCGTGTACAGAAATAAAAGATAAAACGTATCAGGAAAAACAGGAGTGAAAACATAAAACCCTATAAGGTTTTTCTAAAACAACTCTGGAGTTAGAATGAGCTGATATGGGAGGAAAGGAAACATTTCTAACAAATGGGGTGGGGGGGCTTGCTTGACTTCCAAGGGGAGAGAGCTGGTGTCAGGGTGTTAAAAACACACAACTGGGTCACAGCATCCTTTAGAGCAGGGGCACCTGATATATGGCGCCACCCTTAATTTACAGAAACCTCCCAATGAAGGGATCATTGGTGTCTGGTGCCCATCAGGGCTGGTAGAGCAGGAGGCAAGGAGAAGATGCTGGAGCCTCTGACAGGCAAAGCAAACCCCCGCTCCCCAAGACAAGTAAGGAGGCAGGTGGATGGGGTCTGCTGAGGACAAACTGAGGTTGGTGGGGCGATGTCCCATTTTCCCCAACTGAATGTTCATTCATACATTACCTTAGGGGTGGAGAAGAATTTAGCCCACTAAACATTTTAAAGTGAACCAACCCAATTCTCCACTTCTCCACTCCTTCAGGGATCAGGACACACTTACAGTGGTACCTCGGGTTAAGAACTTAATTCGTTCCGGGAGGTCCGTCCTTAACCTGAAACTGTTCTTAACCTGAAGCACCACTTTAGCTAATGGGGCCTGCGGCTGCTACCGTGCTGCCGGAGCACGATTTCTGTTCTCATCCTGAAGCAAAGTTCTTAACCCAAGGTACTATTTCTGGGTTAGCAGAGTCTGTAACCTGAAGCGTATGTAACTTGAGGTACCACTGTATTATCCTTTGGATTTCACACTTCTCTGAATTTTGCAATACAATCCTGGCTCAAAGGACATACTAAAAAAATAATAATAATTGCAGTAAAATGTGTGTTTGGAGTTACATTTAGAAATGCATACCTTGAAATTGGAATACTTAAATAGTGTTTAAATATGAATTCCCATGCACATGTTTTTTATTTTAAAAAAAAAAACAGCTGCAGACAAATGCACAAATGAAAATAGGATGGAACGGAATGCATGTGAAATTGGCTTGGTTTGGAAACAGACTGATGTGTCAACTCCCACTGCATGAATGTGCAAACACACACACACACACACACACACACACAATCAAATAATGCATCACATATCTGGATGCGAGGTCCATCCAAGCACCATTTATTAAGATTTGCAGGAGGGCTGCCTTTTCTTTCCTGTCCGCCCCAACTGCAGAAAAGCTGTGTTGCGTCGGGAGCGCGCCTGGGATGGCGGTATTAGCAGCAGTATTAAAAATGCATTGGATGGCGCAGGGTGGGAGATTAGTTGTGTAGAAAGACCCATGAATGAGGGGTTAATTACATTCAAAGAGGCCATTGGCAGGAGCAGGAAAGGCAATGGGTTTCTTTTCTTCGAAATTTACTAAATAGCTGGAAACACGGTTTAATGAATTTTAATGGGATGATACCAAATTCCATGCATATTGCAGTTCCTGATGGGAGGAAGTCAAGGTATTGTTGAAGGGAATCATATTGCCCTACTTTAGGTTTCACAGTTCAGTCACTCTCCCTGCTTCCCCCTTCTCTCTTTTAATTCTCACAACAAGCACTTTCTATAGAACGTGTCTGTAGTATAGTGTTATGGCAAAGGTAAAGGTGGGACGTGGGTGGCGCTGTGGCCTAAACCACTGAGCCTCTTGGGCTTGCCGATCGGAAGGTCGGCAGTTCGAATCCACGTAATGGAGTGAGCTCCCGTTGCTCCGTCCCAATTCCTGCCAACCTAGCAGTTTGAAAGCACACCAGTGCAAGTAGATAAGTAAGTACTGCTGTGGCAGGAAGGTAAATGGTTTTTCCGTGCACTCTGGTTTCTGTCAAGGTGTTCTGTTGCACCAGAAGCAGTTTAGTCATGTTGGCCACATGACCCGGAAAACTGTCTGTGGACAAACACTGGCTCCCTCGGCCTGAAAGTGAGATGATCACCACAACCCCATACACTGCGACCTCGGGTTAAGAACTTAATTCGTTCTGGAGGTCCGTTCTTAACCTGAAACTGTTCTTAACCTGAAGGACCACTTTAGCTAATGGGGCCTTCTGCTGCCACTACACCGCTGGAACATGATTTCTGTTCTCATCCTGAAGCAAAGTCCTTAACCCGAGGTACTATTTCTGGTTTAGCAGAGTCTGTAACCTGAAGGGTCTGTAACCTGAAGCGTCTGTAACCTGAGGTACCACTGTAGTCAGGTTTGACTGGACCTAACCATCCAGGGGTCCTTTACCTTTACCTTACTTAGTGTTATGCGTTTGGGGTGGGGGAAAGTAGGCTATCTGCAGAGACCCTCTTAACCGCTGGATCCAGCAAGTGTTAAAATATAGTTTCCTGATGAAGTGATTGCCTGGGTGATGGGCCATGAAGGGAAACATAGGAAAGGGGCTCTGTGTGAGATGGCAAATGAGTGGCAGCTAGCAGTCCATTAGAAGAAAAAGCTGGATCTGAGCTGCAGTGATGTGGGCCAGAAGCAAGGCAGCAAGCTGGAGAGAGAATCTGAACAATGTTTAATTTCTGTTTGAATCCAAGACTGTGGCTATCGGATAAACAAGACCATTTTGGGGTGTTAATGCTGGGAGCATCCGGTTGTATATATATGTGTAAATAAGCCATATATCATAAAGACACCACAGTTTCCGCTGTGCCTCATTCAAAATGGAAACACGAACCCTGGGTAAGTGCTTGAAATCCGCCACCCACCCACCCAGAGAGAGATGGCCTTATTCATTTCCCCTCCAACCTCCTAAAAATGAATGATAATTGGGGGGAAAGAGGAGAGCAACCAAGGAGGAGCCTTCAATCCAATAGGTTATATCACTGTTATGTAACATGTGGGTTGAACTGGTAGAAAGCAGCATTTTGTGTCTCTTTAAAAAAACACAAAGCCTGCACCAAAGGCATGAGTTCACAACCTGCTTTTGGACACACATTGAAATTTCTTTCATTTGTAGAAAGAAGGGCTGTAGCTCACTAAATGAACAGCCGCTATGATTGCAGAATTCTCAGGTTCAATCCCCAATTGCATAACCAGGTAAGGCTGGGATAATGTCCCCTGTCTGAAACTCCAGACAGCCTCTGCCAATCAGTGTAGACAATACTGAGCTAGACAGACCAATTGTCTTACTCAAAGAATCATGGAATTGTAAAGTTGGAAGGGGCCACAAGAGTCATCTAGTCCAACACCCTGCAATGCAGGAATCTTTTGCCCAACATGGGACTCAAACTCACAACCCTGAGATAACGAATCTCATGCTCTACCAACCGAGCTATACTCAGTCGAAGGCAGTGTATTATGTTGCTAAGTTGCACCTTGTACTTCCTTGAAAGAGATTGTGTGGCATGCGTGGCTTCTCCCTCTCATTTTATACTCACAACCACCCTGTGAGGTAGCCCGAGTAGAGATATATGGAATAAGAGTGGGGCACAGTGAAGAGGTAGGAGCACAAAAAAGCTGATTTGGGTCAGTCTGATCTGAGGTAGTAGGTTTGGGGAAAGGACCTCTGCCTAGAGAGGCTTAGAGAAAACACACTGTGTCTGTTTAGAGACTAGGAACACGCACTTGTGGCTTTTGTCTCTCTTTCAGTACTGCAGCTTGAAATGTCAAACTGCCACACATAAACACAATGGTAGTCAACACATTTGCGATGAAGGCTGCAATCCTCTGTCCACTTCCTTGGAATGAAGTATGAGACTTAATGTCCATGTAACCTTACACAGAATCAAACAGCATTTGTCAAAAGCCATAAGGTTTTGACACAGTAGTATCAGCCTCTCTCTTTCTCATAGTCACAGATGAGCCCAAGAGACTGATCAGTAAGGGAAATCTAAGTCTCCATGCCACCATAGCAATTGGCCATTAGAGGGAGCTGCAGACTGGCTCTCTGCTGTACCTAGACACCACCAAGAGTTCTGGCCAGAGAGGCGTACTGCAGCAGTTGTCAGGTGACATGGGAGAGCCAATAGGGTTCCACTGTGCCTTATAAAGCTTCAGGCACCCAGTCCTTCCCCACATTCTTGCTGTAGGGGGTGAGGAAGCTTCCTGCAGACTGGTTGGTGCCTGCTGGTTTTGCCTCTAAGTTGGCACTGCCATTCCTGGAAGCTAATGCAGCATGGCATGTATTAAACCATTGAATCAAGGGACTACTTCAAAATCTAAATGAGAAATCCAGACTGGAGGAGCTTGTAGGGAATCTGAGAGTGTATCATTAACTCAGGTTGTGAAAGCAGTGGTATTTCCACCTGAGCTGTGGGCCTGGAAGGCAAAAGAGTCTTCTCAGCTTTGGAGCAATGGATCCAAACTACAAGAAAGAAGATTCCACCTAAACATTAGGAAGAACTTCCTGACAGTAAGAGCTGTTCGACAGTGGAATTTGCTGCCAAGGAGTGTGGTGGAGTCTCCTTCTTTGGAGGTCTTTAAGCAGAGGCTTGACAACCATATGTCAGGAGTGCTCTGATGGTGTTTCCTGCTTGGCAGGGGGTTGGACTCGATGGCCCTTGTGGTCTCTTCCAACTCTAGGATTCTATGAGAAGAGAGGCTGGGTGCCACCCTCACTTCTCTCAGAGACTGAGAGGGCAGGGACTGAATTGTCTAGTGCTGATTTATGTGTAACTTCCAGTGAGGGCAGTAAACCTGCATGTTTCATCTGCCACGCAAACACACATGACAGAACCGGACCTCCTGGTGCCGTTCGACTCTCATCACCCATCAGCTGAAGTCAGCATGGTCATTGGTCTAGGATGATGGAAGTTGGGACCCAACAGCATCTGTAGGGCCAAAGCTTCCCCACCCTTGCTGGTAACCAAGAGAGATTAAGAAACATGCTATGATCGGCCTATCCCAACCAGTCAATATTCTGTATCGGTTGAAGTTTCTGGATGCTTTTCAAGGGCAGCCCCACCTATGAGTGTGTTCCAGTAATCAAGAGAATAATACAGTTTCTAACGTATGCTGAATCCCAGTTCATGGGAACCACATGAGGGCCCTTGTGGACAATTTCTGCTTGAGATTTCCCCACAGGCATCTGGTTGGCCAGTATGAGAAGAAGCTGTTGGACTAGATGGACCATTGGCCTGACCCAGCAGGTCCTTCTCATGTTCTTACACTTTGAGTGCAATATTCCAGCATTTCCTACTACCAATATCGAGTTATATATTATTAGCTAGCCTCTAAGATTGTGCATTGTGCAATTTCCCCCCTTCCCCTCTGATTCTAAACCAAAAGACTCTAGCATGGATAGGTTTTCGCCAAATGCCATACATTGGTACTAGTGCACTAGCTAGAACGCCCTCTCTAAACATGCACACATCCATTCGTCGGCAGAATTCACCTCCAATAATGGGTAGCTTTCATTATTTATATTTGTGTTGCTGTTTCCACGCCACAGGTTTGCCTGTCCGTTGCATGTCTTAGTCCTCCTTCCTCTGTGGAAAGTGACTGAGCCTTTGAAACCAAAGAACTGCTCAGCTCCCAAAGGGGAACGAGGGAGGGTTTTTTGGGGAAGGGAGTGTTAACCTTCGTCTCTAATAAATCAGCCAAAAAAACCAAACAAAACACAAAAAAGGACCCTGCTCCCGTCTTGCCTGCCTTGCGATGCTTTTGCGAGACACCAGAGCAATGCTGCCCCATTGTGGCTTTCTCTGATCAGTTCTCAATCTGGGAAAGCACCTGGATCTGAGAAGATCGTGTGGTTCTTCCATCCTTTTTAAGGAGGCCTCAATGGCAGGTGTTTTTTTTGGGGGGGCGGGGGGTTCAGCTCCCAGTTATGCATTCTACCTCAAAGGATTTCACAGCACACCTCAAAGTTAACAAAGAAAATTCCTGGCTGCTATTCTTTCCCTAAACACCCCGTCACGAATTGCAGCTTGGTTTCAGGTCTGTATTAACTCATTAGCTTCTTTCCCCCCGACGTCTCGCATTAAAATACATGCTGTTGAAAACATATCTGGGTGATGCAAAATGTTCCCTAATGTTTGGCCTAGATATCAGCCCCTGGTCTGGGGTAGCTTTGCACTGATGGGATCCTGTTCAGTGGCCCTGTAGCTGGAATCATAACAGGGGTTCATGCTGAATGTGCATCTTGAACTATATACGTCAGGGTCTGGGGCAGGGAAAATGCACGTGTATAAATAGCCTTTAGGTTTGAAGGGCTGCAAACATTTTATTTTGCAAAAATGGGATCTTGCATTCCTCTCAAAGGAATGGCGGCTGGGTTAGAAAGCCTACTTCTCAGGATTGCGGTGAGGATCTCTGTGGTAATATAAAGCACTTTGCTCTTTCCAAAAGTGCAGATACTGCAAATTTGACCTTACTGCATTGGTTAGGTAGGGTGGAGTTAAATTCATTGAACCATACAGGTGACCCCTTGCTTTGGTTTAGCCATCAGAGTGAGTGAAGAAATTCCTCAGTAATGTGACATGTCTGAAGGACAGTGGCATTTTGCGTTTGGGCCGAAAGATAGTTAGGGATGGCTGCTTCTTTTAACTACTTCTTCAAAGATTTCAGTATCTCTCTAATAGCAGGAAAGAGCAGTAGAAACTCCTTCCTTGCCAGCAAGTTTTCGCCCTCCCCCCCGCCCCACTGCGAGGTTTTGATATTTCAATCTCGTTTCCATTTCTGTCGTTGCTTTTTTCTCATTTCGTCTCAAGAGGCACTACTGTACCTCTTATACTTTATTGTTTTCTTTCTTTTGTCTGCAAATATCACATCTGGCTCCGTGCAATCTATTGTTCTGTAAGTATTGACATGATTATCCCGAGAGATTGCAAAATTAGGATTCTCTCGAAGGGCGAAAATAGATGATATGTGAAATGCATGGCTGCAATTCATATATCTGCTGTTGCCATTGTCTTTTTTTGTTTAAGTGGGTGCAGGAAAGGGAGAGATCAGAATTGTAACCACAGCCACCCAGGGATGGGAGGGTATGGCTACCTTCATCCAGAGAGGGGGAACATCTCAGCCTAAGATTGGGTGGACATGATCTGGGATTTATTTGCTTAATATGTAAGTAATTTGCAAAAATTATATACTGCTTGATTGGGGGGGGGGACTCTCAAAGTTATTTACAAAAAGAATAAAACAATAAACTCATTCGTGAAATCAATTAAAAATTAAAAACAACAATAAACTAAAAACACATGAACATTCTAGATCTCTGGGTAGTCTTATCTAAACAAAAAATGTTTACAAGAAGGACCAAAAAGAGTACAGTGCCTTGTTTCAATCGACAGGGAGTCCCAAAGTCTAGGCGCTGCCACACTAAAATACATTTATTTCTTACAAGTGCAGGATGGGTATTATGTGGCACTGGAGAATTCTCTTTTCACTGATCTCACAGGGTGAATTGTTCTCAAACACCCACCTAGCATGTGAATTAATCAATATCTTAATACCTTTTCCCTTACTGTCCCCATGCAACAGAAGCAACTTTGCTGAGGATGCTATTAATCATAATAGGCAGTGATTCTTGGCATGGCCTTCTTGGTGGTGGTGCCATATCTTCCCACCTGACAAAACTTGCATAGGCTTCTCTCATTCATATCCCTTTTGGAAATGGCATTTTTAGATAGCTCTCCGCAGAAGCTGGCAGAGAGGGAGGTGACTGTACCCCTCTGTTTCTGCGTGGCTTGAGCTGATGTCATTTGGTGAGTAGGTTCTTTTAAGTGACCTGTATTTCTATCATGTGTGTGTTTAACTGGTAGCAAACCACTTCAAGTGGGCTGTATTACTGTTGTTAATGATATTAATATTGCTGTGATTTATATGGAAGTTTGTTGTTTAGTCGTGTCCGACTCTTGGTGACCCCCTGGACCAGAGCACGCCAGGCACTCCTGTCTTCCATCGCCTCCGGCAGTTTGATCAAACTCATGTTAGTAGCTTCGAGAACACGGTCCAACCATCTCATCCTCTGTCGTCCCCTTCTCCTTGTGCCCGCCATCTTTCCCAACATCAGGGTCTTTCCCAGGAAGTCTTCTCTTCTCATGAGGTGGACAAAGTCTTGGAGCCTCAGCTTCAGGATCTGTCCTTCCAGTGAGCACTCAGGGCTGATTTCCTTCAGAATGGATAGGTTTGATCTTCTTGCAGTCCATGGGACTCTCAAGAGTCTCCTCCAGCACCATAATCCAAAAGCATCAATTCTTCGGCGATCAGCCTTCTTTATGGTCCAGCTCTCACTTCCATACATCACTACTGGGGAAACCATAGCTTTAACTATATGGTCTTTTGTCGGCAAAGTGATGTCTCTGCTTTTTAAGATGCTGCCTATGTTTGTCATCATTTACTCCCAAGAAGCAGGTTTCTTTTAATTCCATGACTGCTGTCACCATCTGCAGTGATCCTGGAACCCAAGTATTATGGAAGTAGGATGGAAAAATCAGAAGTATTTTAAGCTGTCACTTTTTTAAAGGAAAACTTTTGCAATGATGTGGAGTAGGTCATTCAGTCCATGCGGAAGCCTCACCTTGTGATCATCACTTTCACCAGGCCTCTCTCTGGGGGTCAACATGCCTGGGCAATTACTTGGGTCCCACCGACCCACCAGAGCCCACAACAGATGCTTATCTTTTAAAAGGGGTGGGGATCTTTGGCCTCAGTCCCAAATGTCCTTCCCCCAGGCCTTTCTATTTGTCCCTCCAGAAGGTGTGGCCTCAGGGAGGGGGTGTGGTCTGGGATGAGCCACAAGAGCCAAATAGAAAGGGTCAGGGATGCATTTGGCCCTTGTGACTCTCCCCAGACCACACCTCCTCCCTGAGGCCACACCCCCTGGAGAACTTCAGCCTGCTTACAATGTGTTCTTGAACTGTGTCAATGCCTCTTCCAGACCCTCCAAGTGTCCCTAATTTCCAGGGATGTCCCTGATTTAGAGTAGCCGCCGCGGTTTCTGATTTGATCCTGGAATGTCCCACTTTTCCTGAGGATGTCCCTATTTTTCACTGGTGAAATGTTGGAGGATACAATAGGATGTCCCTATTTTCATTGGAGGGTATGGAGTTACATGACCCATCTGAAGGCAGCCCTGTATAGGGAAGTTTTTTAATGCTCTATTATGTTTTATATATATATATGTTGGAAGCTGCCCAGTGTGGCTGGGGCAACCCAGTAAGATGTGTGGGGTATAAATAGTAAAATTATCATTATGGAATGGGACGTCCCTATTTTCATTGGAGAAATGTTGGAGGGTATGCTCTTGCTTTTGTGGAAGTAGTGTGTGTGTGTGTGTGTGTGTGTGTGTGTACACAAAGGTAAGACTCATAGAACTGTAGAGCTGGAAGGGAGCCCTAAAGTCCTCTAGTCCAATCCCCTGCAATGCAGTAATCTCAGCTAAAGTATCCATGACGGATGGCCATCCTTAGCTCAACTCACTTTTTCATTGGGCCCCACCCAAAACTGGAAGACTTCCCAAGAGGCTATGTGGCCCTTGGGTTTATATAGGTTTCCCAACCCTGTTGGTTCCAATAAGCACTTGAGTTAGGAAACCACCAATCTCATTTCCCACAGTGCTCCGGGGTTTGATGTCCCTTGGCAGAACTGTGGGAGATTAAAATGGCACCCTCTAGCAAGCACATGAGAACCGCCATTTTTAATTTCCCACAATGCCCTGTTGTCTCATGTTGCTCTGTGCGGTGGAGCACATGCACGGCCTCTCTATGCTTGCCTGGTGGTTTGCAGAAGATGAAAACGACACAGCCTTAAATGCTCCGTTGCTGAAGTGCCCTGTGAGTGGGCTTGAAAGTCGAGCGTTCTCCTGGCAGCAAATCGTAGCAGTCTATCAGGCAGGTGCCCATATTTCTTTCATCCTGAGTGTTAATGAATGTTAATGAGAATATATGGGCATTTAAAATTATTGGTACGCGGTGATGTTTGCTTATTGGATTACAGTTTCTCTTCCCCCATAGTGGATTTTCTTCTGTGAAATTTCCTCCGCAGAGTTCACAGACAATATTTATAGGTAGTCTTCGCTGAGAATTTCTGAGCTGCGGTGGGTAGCTATTTCCCCTCTCCCCCCTCCCTAAGTGGGGAATAATTTGTTTGATAGAGCGCTGTAATAAAATATGAATTCCTTTCTAATTATGGAAGGCAGAACAGAGTGCATGTAATGCAACCATTACAATGTAAATATATATATATATATGTATAACATATGGAAGGATAGCACTCTGGTGATTATTGATATTTATATATAGCAGAGTCATGGTGCAAGGTGTTTATAGAACCGTGTGGGCCTTAGAAATGGGCAGTGCCTAATGTTGCTGGTAGAGGAAGGAAAAGGGCAGGAGTTTGAAGGAAGGAGAGAGAAAGGGAAGAAGGAAAGGGAGAGAACACAAAGCAGGAATGTGCCTGGTTGTTTTTCTGCTGGGTTTTGCAGATGGGACACCATGACTTTCCGGTGTGAAGTAGCAAGAATGTAAGAGCCCTGCTGGATCAGACCAATGGCCCATCTAGTCCAGCATCCTGCTCTCATAGTGGCCAACCAGATTCACTGGGAAACCCAAAAACAGGTCACCCACTCTCTGCTGCTCATACTGCCCAGCCATAGGCATTTAGAGGCATACTGCCACCATCATCACTGGTAGCCATTGATGGTCTTATCCCCTACTGCAATTCAGCTTGGCAGCCATGGCTACATCTTGTGGCAGTGAATTCCATAGTCACAATGGGCTATGTGAAGGAGTATCATTTCCTCTGCCTTAGATTGCATACTGTTCAGCTTCACCGAGCTGAATAGTGAAACTATGGAACTTGCTCCCACAGCAGACAGTGATGGCTGCCAACCTAAAAAGGTAAAGGGACCCCTGAGCATTAGGTCCAGTCGTGGCCGACTCTGGGTTAGCGGCACTCATCTCGCTTTATTGGCCGAGGGAGTCGGCGTACAGCTTCCGGGTCATGTGGCCAGCATGACTAAACCGCTTCTGGTGAACCAGAGCAGCGCACGGAAATGCCGTTTACCTTCCCGCTGGAGCAGTACCTATTTATCTACTTGCACTTTGATGTGCTTTCAAACTGCTAGGTTGGCAGGAGCAGGGACCAAGCAACTGGAGCTCACCCTGTTGCGGGGATTCGAACCGCTGATCTTCTGATCGGCAAGTCCTAGGCTCTGTGGTTTAACCCACAGCACCACCCGCGTCCCTCATACTGTTAGATCTCATACCATTCAGCTTCATCAAGCTGAATAGTGAAACTATGGAACTTGCTCCTGCAGCAGACAGTGATGGCCACCAACCTAGGTGGATTTAAAAAAGGTTTAGGCATAATCATGGGGGAGAGAGGTATAAACCCCTGGCCTACCTGGTGGCAAGTCAGTATGTCAAGTCCAAGGTTCAGAGACCAGGGGTCAATCCACACAAGCAAAGTCCAGAATCCAAAGGTCAGGAAATGCAATCCAGGGTCAATCCAAGTAGGTCAAGTCTGAAGTCCAGGAGCATCTATGCTTGATGAGGCATGTGACCCTCACCTGTTCCAAGACTAATTCAACTGAGGAATCACACACCTCTTCCCAGAGCTAGGGAGCCCCACCTGGCTGAGCTGGTGTCCTGATCCCCTGGCCTACCTGGCAGACAGTGTTCCAAGTCTAGAAGCCAATCCACACAACGAAGTTCCAAATCCAAAAGCCAATCTTTTGGCAAAGTTCCAAGTCCGGAAGCCAATCCGCACAAGCCAAGCCCAAAGAACAGGAAACACAGTCCGGGTTCAGTCCAAATTAGCCAAGATAGGAGTTCAGCAATCAGGATACAGTCCAGAGTTAATCTCGAAGTAGAAACCTATCAAGGTCCAAGGAGAATCCCAGGCAAGTTCCCTCAACTTGGCCAGTTGAGCAGACACAGCACCTCAGCTCTGTTGTCTTCTTACACTGTGTCTGCTGATTGCAGCATCTGGACTTGATGAGGCCTTGTGATCCTCACCTGCTCTCAGCATGCCCCAGCTGAGGAATCACAAGCTGCCTCCTGCATGTGGCCAGCTAGTGGATTAGGCTGTAGGTCCTGGCCTGCCTGCTTCCTGGACTGTCTTGGGGACAGGGTCTTCTCTGGCTCTGGTGAGGGGTCCTGCTGCTCAGCTTCCTGTACACTAGCCCCTGTCCCCTCATCATCCTCCATCACCCTGTGAGTATTGTCTACATCAACCTCTCCCTCCCCATCCCCAGCTTGTTCCTGTGTGACCCACTCCCAGCTATACCCCTCACCAATATCCTCTTCCTCCTGGAGTCCTGCCAATTTATGACATCTGGGCTATGGGCCCTTGCCCACTTCAGCCACCCAGGGCACCACTCCCGCTGCTCCCTATGCCTTAGAGCCACCACGTTCATGGAGAAAGAGCCATCCCTGCCTCTTGATGGGTCCCACTGCTCTGATTCCTGTGCACTGACCTCCATCCCCCAACCATCTTTACTGTGACTACCATCCCCTCCAAATGTCCTGATTTTCCAGGGACAGTCCCAGAATTACAAAAGCCACCCCAGCTTCTGATTTGATTCAGAATGTCCCTGTTTCCCCTGCCAGTGCTGCCACCGCTGAGCATGGAGAGCAGGGATGAGCTGATGCTTGTCCTGAGCAGTGGTGGAGAAGAAGGAGCACCTAGAGAAGTTTTAAATGTTTGATGTTTTATTGAGTTTTTAATATTCTGTTGGGAGCCCCCCAGAGTGGCTGGGAAAACCCAGCCAGATTGGTGGGATATAAATAAGTTGTTGTTGTTGTTACATTTATTTTTTGGTATGTCTCTTTCTTTTTGTAAATCTCCCAAAGGATAAAATAAAATAAGGCTTAAAGGGTTTACTCAGAAGGGGTGTGTGTGCTGGGTCCCATTGGTGGTGGTGGCAGCACTTGCCCTTCTTGTGATAGGGAATATTCTTGGTGGGGGGCACAAAAATGGGGAGTCCAGGAGCATGGGGGGGTGAGAAATGTCCCTATTTTCATCTGAGGAATGTTGGAGGGTGTGGAATACCTTCATAAATAGATCATATCCCTTTTCCTGATGACAAAGTCATGCTTTCCCCACCCTGCTACACCCCAGGAGATGTGGCTGCGTCCTTGGTGGAACATGCTGTGATCAATGAGGAAAGAGATGGAGATTAGGATATTTAAGCCAGCTCTGCCTCCGCACATGTCCCTCATCTTTGGGTACCTGCCCTTCAGCCCTTCCAAAGTGTGGGGCTGTAGCTTATCGCTCTATTGAGGGCAGAGCAGGATTTTTTGGGGGGAAGCACTGATTAGGACTTGGGGTTCTCCTCCCCCCTCCCCAATTTCACACTATGTGATGTTGTTTGCGTTTGGAGTGGCATTTGATTAATTTGGCTCATTTGTTGCTTAGTCCAGGCAGGTGAGAGGACTTAAGAAATGGTTGATTGAATTTCTGACGTGTTATTGGATTTGGGCCTGGCGGACAAATTTGGGCCTGCCTGGACAAATTTAATTTGCTTCAATTTTGGTTAATTTGGTTTGTTGCAGATCCTCCTGTTCGTTATATTTAATAAATATAGCCTGCATCCTAAATAGTTGCTTGTCTCCACTCTACTTTTGGCAAAGTCCCCTTGCAAAACTGGTCGTCATTCTGTGCATGCAACGGCTTTATTGGATCCCACCCAGTGGACCTAAACAGAGGAGCATGTTTGATGCAGACAGAATTAAAGTAGCTTGGTGTGTGGAAGCAACAAGGTTGGGGACTGTGATGGTCTTCACCAATGGTATCACATAAGGGATTGCAATCCTCAGAGACAGTGTGTGTGGTGTAGTGATTAGAGTGTCAGACTAAGACCTGGGTTCAAATCCCGGCTCGGGCGT